AGAGACCCTTTGTTACAGCCATCAAGAAATAGGCAGCAGTTTAGGGGACAAATTCTAGCCAAATTCTACCCATCAGACCCCTCTGATTCCAGTCTTATCCAAAGCCAGGAGCCTACTCTACTGATCAGAAATCTCATACACACACGTTCACATACTCTCTTACAGCCTTCCCCACTCTGTACTCCCATTCACACTCACACACATATGCACATGCAATCACATACAGTTTCACAGCCTCTCACACACACTCAGATATTCTCACACTCACACACACACACTCTCTCTCACCCCTAGACTGTGTGTTTTAGTCCCCGGGCTCAGCTACTCAGTTTTCAAATCACAACCTGTTCACTGCCCTAGCCCTGCTGCTGGGCTTAAAGACAGGGTGGCACTTCCAGGCAGGCCAGCCTCTGAGGCTTCCTTCTCATGTAACTACAGTGAGCTGGGGCTGGGGTTGATCCAGGAACTCCCACCACCAGAGAAACCAGAGGAGAGATCTCTTCAGGGAGACAGGACGGGTGCAGGCAGGAAGAATAGAAGTTTTATCTAGAAGGAGAGTCAGGTCCTAGGCAGCTCAGCTTGGAGGTTCCTCAGCTTGAAGCTTCCCTTGGTAAATTCTCATTTGTTTATGTCGTTCATTCCACATTCAGCTCAGTTTCTGCCAATGTCTTAGGTCATCAGGCAATAAAGCCAGGGTTGGACCCTGATCCAAAGCTTCTTGCACATTCCATGGGCCCCTCTCTTTGACAGGGGTCCTTTTCAAATTCACCAAAAACCTTTATGCGAGTAAAAGAAGTTGAACATTTCATAGGTTAACTAGCCATGCTATGGTTTACATATTGTTTGATTGTTAAGCACAACTAAATTCCCTCATAATCAATTGTAATACCCTTACCAACCCGTCTTCTTCGGTTTTACGTGCTCTTACCATGGGTTGGTTTTGTTCCTTCCTTCATGAGTGAAGGAGGAGTTCTCTTCTTTGGGAGGATGAAGCAAAACTCACAACTGTGGAATCAGACAACGGTTTGTGTTCAGCCCTTCCACGTGTGAGTGGTTGAACCTGAACGCATGTGTATCCTCCCTGAGCCTCTGCATAATGGCAGGGTAGTGACTGGGATTAAATTGGGCACATAAAGTTCCTGTCAGAGTTTCTGGCTTGTAATAAATGGCCAATATATTGTAGCTATTAGAATTTCTTGCTTTTACTTTTTAATTATGTAATGGCAGTATGTAGTGAGACTCAAAAATCAGTATTTCTTCAAGAAGAATTGTTATTCTCTTAGGGGAGGGAGAAAAGGGCTTCCTACAGAATCACACTGAGTGAATTGTCACTTTGCTCCCATGTTTTGTGCTGACTTTGGCACCTGAGAAGGAGGTGGAATGGGTTGCCACCCTGAGCAGCATGCGTTGTGACAGAGTTTCCCTGGGGAGGCAGCAAGGTTGTGCCTGTAATTTCAGATCCCAGACAGCCAGGAAGCTTCCTGCATTTGCCCCAATTTGCCTCCATCCAATAGTTGTAGTAACTGGGCCTGGGAAGCAGGGGGAGGTGGGGGGGATGCGGCATGGGGAAGGGAATGGATGACGCATGAATAATGTTCACAGCAGGAAAGGAAAGGAGACCCTGTCTTCTGTCTGAGCATGCTCAGCAGCTGGGCTGGGCGGACACACAGGCAAGTACGGAGTTGGTCAGGGTGCGTAGAATGCGCTACCCATTTGCTGAGCCTGAATAATAATAGGGTTTGAAATATCCTCTATATTTGCTCCCAGGTTGAGCTCCCAATCTGCTGTAACATTTTGTCTTTTAGGAGGCAAGGGGAGCCTGACTGGGTGGAAACTGGAGGGGAAATTCAGGAGAGGAGGGGAGAAGGCAGAGTTCTTTGTTTCTCTCCCCAAGCTACGGACAACTTGCCATCTTCCTAGGAGATCTTGGTTATTCAGAGCATGCTCTGAGCACTTGACTGGAAATTTTTCAGTGCTTCTTCAGCAATATCATTTTTTCATTCTCATTCACTTTCTAATCATGACACCTTTTCAGGAAATTGGAAAACAAATATCCAAGAAATCAGAATGTCATGACAAAGCTTTATAGCTTCTAATGACATGTACAGCTAGAGATGCCATAACGAAAACACACTAAATATTTGCATCCTCAGTGTGCTGCTATAAATTCACAGGGTTGCTCTGTGGTCCTGAATACAGAGCATCTCTCTTAGCACAGAGCAGGAATTTAAATGCTTCTAAGAAACAAAATCAACTGATAATAAAGTCCTTCTATATCAGATGTAGTTTATAAATGTAATCAAAAGACTATACTATTAAAAAAATATGTAAATCCATACAATAAGAGCATTTTCTAGTGAAAAACAGTTTCCAGGATTTTTCATTGTCCTCTGCTCAATTTCTACAAGGTAGCAAAGCTTCAGAGAAAGGTTTCTAGATCTTTATCTTATAATGCACTTGTTTATCAAATACCAGACCAGTCATTTGCCAGGTAGACTATGTCCTTGGGACTGAACATAGATGCAAAGAGAGGAACTCTGCAGATAAATAGATTTTTTCAGTTCACTTACTGCTTTGCCATATAAAATCCTGCAAGTGGATGAGGCCAGCCTTCTTTGTCAACTACAGAATAACTTTGTCTAAGTGTATAGCAGCACCTGGTTAACAATTCTTTAGGAGGTGAGGATTGATTATATAGAAAATTAAATGCAAAGCTAGAATACAAGAAATCAGGTAGCTCCAGTTCTGTATAGCTGAATGGATTTGGCCTCTGTGCTCCAACCTCCAAATGTCACTGAGGCATAGGTTATATGCCTTAGTATAATTATAAAAAGGGGGAGGAAACTGTGGTAGCCCAGCCAGCTTTTGCTCATTCAAAAAAAAAGTGCTATGAGTTCCAAAGTAACAGTGAAAAAATTTCTCCTTTAGAATTTCTCTCATTTTATTGCTTGCTCTTACAAATAAGATCCTTTTTTCTCCTTTAATCCCCTGGGCCCCTGGAAAAAGCTCTTGAGGAGAAAACTTTGACCCCAGATTATAGTGCAGCTGGGACCTAGTAATAAAGAACTGAGTAGCCCTTTCAGCAAGTGTTGGCTCATTTTGTGCTTTTTCGTACTTAGTTGTGCTGTTGGTCTAGCCTCCTAGAGTCTGAGTACATAAATCAAAGCACAAGTATCAAAGGAATCTCCTCTTTAAATGCCCACAGTCAGTCAACAGGTATGTGTGAGCAGGAAGGAAGAAGGTAAATAAGAGTTAATAACAGCCAGTGTGTATTAAGCACACAACATGCACTAGCATGATTCTGGGCTTTAGGTATTATATGTTATGCAGTGCCCACAACACCCAAGAATAAGAGTATTCTTCTCTATTTATGGATGAGGTAAAACTATGGGTAGAAGTTTGAACAGCCAATATCTGGCAGCATTTATTAATTCAGAATAGTTCCCTTAACCTCTACCCTTAACTAGAAGGAACTTTCACATTAGTGAATGCACTAAACCCTCACAATAACCCAACTACAATATATTATTATTATTCCTATTTTATCCATCGGAATAACTCAACCAGAAGTTAGCTTTTTCAAGGCCACACTTAGTAAGGGCACAGAGCCAGAACTTAAGCCCTTCCAAAGCCTTTGTTCTTTCTACTGCCCTACATCGCTTCCAGCAAGCATTTGGCATGCATATTCTCAAAGAGGTTTAGTGTCAAACTTGGTATTAAATAAAACAAATATAAAAAGAAAAACATGCATAGGACCAAGAGATATAATTTTAAGATTTCTTCTTTTTTACTGAAAGAGTGAATGAGGCATGTGTTAGCAAGGAGGAAAGTGGGCTTTAGTTTTCAAAGAATGCATGTGGGAGAGGGAGTGTGTCGCTGTAGTTTACTGGAGAGATGGAAGGATGTGCCCAGGCTGCTAGGTGTTGGAAGTTTGTACCAGGTACAATGGTGATGGCTACAAATAATTGAAAGCTCCAGCAAAGGGACTTGAAGTTAGTTTTAATAAGAAACCTAGTGGTAGGAGACTTCAAGTGTTGGTTCAGCTGCTCAAAAATGCCATTGGAACTAAGGTTGTTTCTCTTTCTAGCCCTGCTCCCTTATCATGTTGGCCTTCTTCTCTTAAGAATCACAAGACATTTGCCATAAAGTCAGGGACAAAATGGAAGAAGAAGGCACCCGCAACACTGGTGTCATGTTAGCAGAAAAGCAGAGGCTTTCTCAGACTCCACCAGCCCCCAGGTGATTTCCACTCAGGTCTCATCCATCAGCAAGGCCCACAGCCACCCCAGCAGACAGGAAGGCTGGGAAAGCCAGTGCTTCCCTGGACATGTGCCCCCCAGAAGAACTGCATCCCTATAAGGTTGGGGTGGTATGGGAAATCACAAAGACAGTATGTCTTGGTTTAGGAGGCTAGTGTGGAGAAGAGTTAGGGCAACAGGGCTGTACTTGGGAGAAGGAGGATGGTGTTAATGAGGAAGAATGTTGTGGTTCCCTTTGTATCTACCTTTACATTTAGATGACCTCAGAGCATCACACCTGTGATGCTTCCTTCCTTCCCTCTCCTGTTCTTGACTCTCTTCACTCCCTCTGCCCCAACCCCAAACCAATAGCCCTTTGGGCTAAATAATGTTGATAATGATAAGATCATCAGATTTCATTTTTTCAATTCTTGCAAATAATAGGTATTGAATAAAGTATTGCTGAATTAGTTATGTAGTGAGATGAGGAAATTCCAGGCAAATATTAGCTGGTAAGGGTCTTTGACAGCATGGCCAGAAGTTCTCACTGCTTCAGAGGAGAAACTACTCAAGAGCCTGTGGACGGCAACTGGAGGCCACTGTTAACAGAATCCAAATACAGATGCTGGCAAAGTGGCCCAGTTCAGACAAAAGGAGTCTGAAGAGGCTGAAGACTTGGATGTCGGGTCAACACAGCCCTACATGATCTTATTGCTACTTCACATGATTATAGCTCCATGGTTTCCTTCTTCGTCTTTGCAGAGCCAGCTCTCCCAGGCACTGAATGGGCTGTCGGACAGGGCGAAAGAAGCCAAGGAGTTCCTGGTGCAGCTCCGCAACATGGTCCAGCAGATCCAGGTACCACAGCAACTGAGACCCCAGGGGTTAAGATGTAACTATGTGATGGAAACATTTATCCACTTCTCTTCTATTTTTATATGTTGTGGGGAAAATCCCATTATTTTCTTCTACTCTGTGTCTTCTAATACTTACAAACACACATACAGGCAAACTTCAAAGATATCCCTTCTTGAGGTGGTTATGTTTGCCAACAAGCCAGAAAGAACCTGGTTTTCCAAGTGGTTCCTCTCTTCCACACAGAGGTCCTAATTCTCCACTACTGTGTATTTAGAAAGAGGCTTATTTCTTTGTGAATTCAGAGTCATTATTGTTGAGTGTTTTTTTTTACTCTATACATCCCTCAAACACTTTGCAATGATTATATTTTATCTGATGGTAAAAACAAGTCACACTTTCTCTTTTTTCTTCCTCTCTTCTTTTTTTCCTTTCTTTCTTCTTACTTTCCTTCCTTCTTTCCTTTCCTCCTTCCTTTTCTTCCCCTTTTCTTCCTTCCTGCCCCATAGTAATGCTTTTCCTTTACTTAGATACTTAAATATTTTTCAGCCTTGATCTCCTGGTGACTACAATTTCAGAATGCTTTGTCTGGACACAATGACCAACGTATCAGCCAGCATTTGGAAGCTAAAGGGGAGAAGCCATAAATCACATGAAATGCTAAAATAATGAATTTCTGCACTGTTCACCATTCTTTTGAGATTTACCTCACAGAAGTAACCTTGGCTCTGGCCTCCAGTAAATTGCCTTTCTGAGCTAATCGTTAACCCTTGTCAAGGCAGAAATGGCTTTTTAAATGTAAGCCAGCTTTTCAAAGCATCTCACACTGATTTCTTTGCCTATTTTTGGCACATATGCCATTTTAAAATTTTTGATTCCCTAACAACCAAACACTTGTACCCTTCCTTCTGTTCTCCCAAGTAATAGAGTCCCTTCTTTTCTTTCACTGGCGTGAAATATGCAGCCCCAGGCTTGCCTCTGAACCTCACCTCTTCATCAGACAAAGCTTTCTTTCTGGTCTAAATCAGAGCCTATAAAGAGAAGGCCCCCCCTTCCCTCCCAATACTGCCCTGCATGTGACATAGAGAGCTCTGAAATGATATTTTCCAGGGGACTTCTCTGAGAACTCAAAAGCAATTGCCATGAAAGCTGAAACTTTACATTTATAGAAGTTGTTGCTCAAGCTATTATTAATACATGCCTTACACAAAGAAGACCTTGCATTTGAAAATGGCCATAAAATATCAATACGTATATTAAGAGAGAAATACAGTTCTTTATGGCTTTGGTATAAATTAAAATTTGATAAGCTAAGCTATTCCTTCCTTGCCAGTCCCCAAAAGTTTACAGTTTACTCAGATGTGTTATTAGTGTATACATGAATATTTAGTTTTGACTTGCTATAAATTATAATAGTTTTTCAGGTTATGGTTTGAGAGTCAAAATTATATGTGTCTTATTGAAAGGATTACTTTTAATGAATGCTTATAATGTAGTGAGAGAAAAGCTTAAAATTAATGTCTATGGTATGTACAGATTTAAATGAATTTAAAACTTTAGATCCAGGATTCAGTACAAACATCATGGGGGAGCTGTCATTCATTTAGAACATGGTTACCCTTCTCCCACAAGCTGTTGGTTCATGTCCAACTTTAACAACCTACCCAATTGTGTTCATTTCGTTCTCTTTGATGAGGAGAGCAAGTACTTTTACCCGTGATTATTCTTATAAACATCCAGTGTCACTGGATTATTGTTTAATATGGAAGACCATTGCCATCCTCTTTCTCCTTTCCTTCCCTGAATTTAGAGATTCTTTTGTCTCTCATGCCTTAACAATACCCCATTCCCTCAGGCAAGCAGCCCTTCTGAATGCCACCTTCCACCAAACACAGCTGGACATATGCCAGCTTTCACAGCATTCATGTTCAACTCTACAAACAAAGCTTAATTTTATTTAATATAATTCAAACTTTGGAGATGATCCCCTTTTGATAAAAAATAAGTTTATCAAGTGATGTTTGTCTTTTCAATCTATATTTAAAGCAAACAGCCACTATAGAATGAAATTTATCCAGTTATTTTTGAGATGCCCAATGTGCATTGTGGACAGAATTCCTCTTCACTGTCTTCACTGGGGACCTGTGCCCCACAAGTGGACAGGCCAGCTCTGTGTGCTCTGGCAGCCTGGGCGCACCCAGGCGCTGTATGGCTGAGAGGTGTGCTCTCTCCCACAGGAGAACAGTGTGGAGTTTGAGGCCTGCCTGGTGGCCCAGTGTGATGCCCTCATTGATGCCCTCAACAGAAGGAAAGCCCAGCTGCTCGCACGCGTGAACAAGGAGCATGAGCACAAGCTGAAGGTGAGTGCTGCGCGGCAGGGGGAGCAGAAAGCCAACGAGCTGGGCTCCCAGGGCCGTGATGGACAGGCTAGATGGGAGGGGGAAGCAGGATGCCCGCAACCAGTGGCCTGGCTGGCAAGGAGTGGGCATAGCCCTTATCCACCACTCACTTGTTCGTTTAACTCACCAATATTTGTTGACTGACTTTTCTGGGCCAGAGATTGCTTTGGGTATAGGCATAATAAAATCAGTCAAAATACCTGCCCTCATGGGGCTTATATTCTACCAGGAAGGATTAATAATAAGCAAGGTAAGTAAGTGAAATATCCAATATATTAGTAAAATGTGCTAAGAAAAAATAAGGAAAGAGGTATGGAGGGTACCGAGGATGGGGGTTGAAATTTTCGACAGAGTGGTCAGAGTGACCATACAGAGACATAATGTGTTGGGAAAGGGAACCTGTACTTTTCAGAAAGCAAGCAAGATTTTGTCTTAACTTTGAAGTGAGTTGTGCATTTGGACAGCTGTACAGACTTGTCATGACTCAGTGGAATCAACTGATTACAAGTCTGGCTCCCTACTGGCAGAAGGACTGGTCCTCCTGGGGACATCTGACACCCCATTCACTGCCCTGTTGGAGCAGGGCAGCAACATCTGAGAGCAGGCTAGGTAGATGGGAAGAGCCCAGCCAAGGGAAGCTCAGAAACAGAAAGTCAGCAGAGGTCCATATGCACGCCCAGTAAACCTCAGGGTGACCACCCCCAGGGTGGGTGGGTCATGTGTAGTGTTGGCCTGGGACTGGGTGGGTGAAGAAATGAGGTCTGACCTAGGCTCCATGTTGGGGTTGGGCAGCCATCATCAGGGAGCTTCAATAGTGGGCAGCAGTGAGTGGACACGCCTTGGGGGAGCCAGTTGCGTGTCACTAGTGAACAGTCCAGTTAGTGAAAGATGTCCCCTGCATGTTTGGAACAGGCTCTAGTCCCTGAAGGACAAGAAACCCACCATTTCTAAAAGACTAGGGTCCAGTAGGAGAATCAAGGAAGAGTTTGAAAGTGAAGAAATAAGAGAACACAGCTGACAAGATTTGAGACTGAAGCTTGGTGGCAGGGAAGCTTTGAGCCAGGCCAGTACCCAGTTTGTGGGTCCCAGAACCAAGGAAAGAAACGAGGTCCTAACAGGGGCATGAGACCTGGGCAAGACCTGCAGCAAGACTGCCAGTGCTGAGCAGAAGCAGAGTTGCCAGCCCTTCCTCTGTGCCCCACTCACACACCAGGACCCAGAGCCCAGGAGGTCAGGGAGCCAGGCAGCACAAGAAAGAACGCCATTCCCCTGAGGAAGCTTCCCACTACTCCCCACAGGTGAAGGAACCCCTACTCCAGATGCCTCCTCAAGCACCCTCCTCCATTCCCCACCTGCTGCTCCTCAAAACACTCTTAGAGCCATACTCTTACTTCTTCCTTCTGCAAAGCCAGGGCAATAATATAGCTGGAATATAAAACTTCTTCCCCTGCCTTTGTGACTTGCCCAGCTGCCCCTGTGAAGGGGCCTGTGGAATGGAGGCAGACAGAAGGCTGCTCTGTGACAACGGGATCCGAGCCAGAAAGGGCTCGAGAGAGGGCTTGTGAGAGCAGTGCCCCATCATCAAGGTCACTAGCAAGACCTCCTCTGGCACTATATCAGAACCATGTCCCTTTGAGCATTCCTAATGAGACAGCAAAAGCAGAACTGGGTCAAGGAGAGGCCCAGCAGATTCCTTGATAAAGAATATTGCACATCTGGAAGTCGAATCTGAACCAGGAGTTTGGAAAGAAAAGTGTCCGGGGCTCCAGTGATCACAGAGGCTTGGCCTCTTGGTTTAGAGAACAAACCAAGGTTGAGGATTGTAACACTCCTTCCAGAGCGACCAATACTGTCTCCTGGTGGTAAGTCTAACTGGATGACCCTCTCAGGGTCATCTTACAATCAACCCTGAGGGGCACTGCACCAACCCCACCTGGTGGAGCCTTTGCCATGGAAATGAAGGTGATCAGGAATGCACTGAGCTCTCAAAGGAGGCTCCTCAGTGGCCTGTTTATGCTGAATAACAGCCAGCAAGTTTTACTTACATGGCTTTCTCTAGCTCATCAGTTTCCAGGCTCTGATCTCCTAAAGTCTGGGAATCACTTGGAGTGAGTTCCCTACAGGACCACTGGACAGTGTCTCATGGCAACGTATGTCGTAATCCCTAATATGTGGGGGAGGGGACAGTATTAAAGCTACTGTTTTTCACCCACAAAGTTCCCTGAAAGTTTTACCATGTGGATATTAATCTTACAGACTTAGCTGCAACAATCTGGAAAATATTTCTATTCCATAAACATTTTCATCTAAGATAGTCAGGTTAGGTCTGAATGAAAATTGTAAAGTCACCAATTTAAAATCTGAATTAAAATCTAGAAATGCTCTGAGATGTGAGTCTGTAGTTGCCCAGTGAGCAACACAGAAGAAGCATGGTTGGCAACCAAACCCTGACTTCCCTAATAGCAATAGCTTACGCCGGGGGACACTTGCTTTGAGGAAGCACTGTACAAATTGTGGTACAGGGATCAACTCCTCAATTCCTCACACCTCTACAAGATCATTATTACAAATATCCCCATGCTGGAGGTGATGAAACTGTGGCACCATGATATTAAGAACTGGACCAAGGATCCAGAATTCCAACACTGGTAACCTGGCTTCAGAGCCCAGAATCTGGACCATGACACTGTACTGCCTCCGGCTGGCAGAAGCACAATGCACAGAGGAGGCTTGTCCCCACCCTCACCCTTTCATCAGTCAGCCAGCACCTAATGCACACCTGTGCTAGGAGCTGAATGCTGGCTAGGGGCGGGGGAGGAGAGAGAGATGACTCAGGATGAGTCCTACCCTTAGGGAGCTTACATTTCAGTGTGTGAGATAAGTCCCACACACCATGACCCAGCACAGGTAGAGAGAGTGAGCTCCCAGACACCAATGCCGTAGAAGTTGGTAGGGGGGTAAAGTTACTTCCAGCTGAAAGGGTCACGGAGTGCATCCTGGAAGAGCTGGCAATGGAATAGCCCAAACTTTGGGAGATGTGTGCTAATGATGGCTTACATTCTTGCCTGCAGGATTTGGCAAAGCTGAGAGGGAAGAAGGTGGTGATTAGCAGTGCACCCTGGTTTTGCTCCATCCAGTTAGTTATGAGGACCGATGGATGTTTTTGTTTCTGGTGCTGCTCTGACAGTATTAAAAGACTGTCACTAGAGCCCTTCATTTTAGCATGCTCCAGAAACCCAGAATTTATGTTGCTATAGTAAGCACTCAAAGTACCATTTGAATCACACAGAGTGCTCTAAAGTGCAAACACAGCTGTCTATACAAAATGAACTGGACAGCTGAGGTTTCCCTCTAAATAGTGGGCTAACCATTTCAGTATCTAGCCATAAAATTTTAACTTTTCCTCAATTGAAATCTCTTTTTAAAAATATTGTAGACACTTTTCTGGCACATTGAAACAAAACACAATGAACAATTTGTGATAAGTCATATGGATGGTGACTATAGTGGCCACTCCAAGTTTCTATATGGGAGAGATGTAAGGGCAGGAATAGAAGAGGAAATTGAGAAAGCATCATTTATTTATATCAGAAAGTTGCAGAGGGGCATCACAGCTCCCCAGTCCCCCGCTAGAGCTGCTTCTGCAGGATGGGACTATATGAAGATCAGTTATGGGCTGTTCTAAGGACGCAGATAGAGACCACACAAGAGTGGCTTTGACACATCACTGGGACTCCAGGGCTGTGATGGTGTATTGGTGCCGGTGGCCTGACCTGCAGGACACACTAATGCTTCTGGGGGCTGCTGAGCAGAGGCAGCTGCCTGTCCCCATTCCACCCAGGGTGGGGTTCCCTGCCCCAGATCCCAATGGGCTACAGAAACCAGACACAGGTGGCTGGTTGTCCCCCAGGGCAGCAAAGCTGTTGTGTCTTCTGTCTCGAATGATTCGTTTCTCTGCTGTTTCAGCTGATGGTATCTGTTACTGCTTCTAAACACAGCCAGCAATGCCAATGCTGTGACTACTGATGCCAGCCTCCATGTCTCCCTCTCTCTGCTTTTCTCCTCCTGCCTTTCCCCTTTCTTGTCATTTCTGTTGCTACTCAGATTTGTGAGAAAGGACTGGCCTTTTATAGACATCACTTGCCAAGCACAGTTCTTCTTTATGTCTTTGTTAGCTAGCCCATCACTCACAGCCAGCAGGGATAATCTTATGGTCTTCCGCTTCCTTTGACCAAGTTCTCCAGGGGCCTACATTTTGCTGACAAAAAGGAGAGTTTTGTATGTGTGTGGTTTTCTGGCAACTTTTTCTTCTTGAGCAATCCAAAAGGCTAGGGATGCTGGAAGGGGAGCGTGTATAAATACAGTCTTTATAGTCTACTCATGCTCCTCTCTGAAAGCACTGATGGCTTGGGCAGATTGAATACTTCTGGTTCTGAGGCAAGCTGGAGCGGAGTGGTGAGAGTGTCATAAAGAACAGGGTTTGAGGACACACTTTATCATTTACTGGGTCTGTGACTGTGGGCAAGCGAATGTCTCAATTTCTTTTACCTGTGTGTAAAATAAGGCTAGATGTAGCCATTACCTCATATGGCACTGAAAAACACCGAACATAGTACTCAATAAATATTCACTATTATTATTGATGTTATTACTGAGAGAAAATGACTAGAAATCTGGTTCATTCAGCACACTGAAGAAGGGCTCCTACAGCTAATTTTTCATAAATAATCATTTATAGTGAGAATTAGACTATGCGTGGGTGTCACTGTCCCTGAACATTGGAAATTCTTTAGTGGCCTGAGTTTATAACTGATCACCCTATAAAATAGTTCACAAAGTTTGGTGAACTATTTTTAAAAGCTGAAGAAAAGGCTTTGAGATAGATGCAGTTGTGACCACATTTTAGGAACACCATTTGAAATGTAAATTACAGTGAATACTATTTTATGGTTTGAAAAAAA